CGCCGAGCAGGGAGCCCGATGTGGGGCTCGATCCCAGGACCCTGAGATCATGACCTGAGCTGAAGGCAGTCGCTTAACCAACTGAGCCACCCAGGCACCCCAGTGCCTTCAAACTTCTTATGTAGACCGACTCTGTCATAGCCTTAGTTAGGCAGAGCCATCAAAAATGGAAGTTGGAGAGGGGCACCTGGGTGGCTCAGTTGCTTAAGCTTCTGCCTTCGGCTCAGGTCATGATCCCAGGGTCCTGGGATGGAGCCCCTCGTTGGGCTCCCCGCTCAGTGGGGAGTCTGTTCGTCTTTCTCCCTCTCCCTCTGTCCCCACCCCTCCTCCCCGGCCGCTCGTGCTCTGTCTCTCTCAAATAAATAAATAAATAATCTTAAAAAAAACCTCACCACACACACGCCAGAATGGTTTTGGTTAAAAAAGCAGGTGCTGGTGTGGGTGTGGAGACACTGCCAACAGAAATGCAAAATGGCACAGCTGCTGGGGAAAGCGGTTTGGCGGTTTCTTAAAAAGTTAAACATGCACTTATCATGTGACTAAGGTATTCCACTCTTAGGTATCTATATGAGAGAAATGAAAATATAGATCCATACAAAGACTCACGCATGCAAGTTCATAGAAGCATTATTCATAATATTCCCAAACTGGGAACAACCTAGTTGTCCTTAACTGGTGAGTTGTATCCATGAGATACTAAATGAAGCAAACTCAGATGTATTCATACAATGAAACACTACTCAGTAGTAAAAAGAATGAACTACTGATACATCAGTAACATGGATGAACCTAAAAATCATCCTGAGTGAAAGAAGCCAGATACAAAAGGTCACATACTTTATGATTTCATTTATGTGAAATTTCCAGGATAGACAAAATTGTAGAAATAGCAATCAGTTCAGTGATGACCTGGGGCTGGGGGTGGGACTGGAATTGACTGCAAATGGGGACAAGAGTTTTGTCCAACAGTATAAATTTACTAAAACTCAGGAAACTGTACATTTAAAAATGGGCGAATTTTATGGGCTGTAAATGTACTTCAATTTAAAGACAAAGGAAGTAGGTAACATCTTTAAAATGAATATTTTTTGCATCTGCTTTCATTTTGGGACCTGTATTCCTCCAGGTGTGTTAATTGTTTTAAGCAGTAAAGCTAGTCATCATTAATATCTGGGAAGAAGAGATGCTTTCAAACTCTCCAGAGTATTTGAGAGGAGAAGAAATTAGAATTTAGGGAAATTCTACTTGCCTAAAGAGGCTCCTATCTTTAGTGTTGGGGATTGGAAATTGGAGTAGACTACTCTTGGTCTTAAATTTTCTTCCTGGGCCTTTCAGATTCAACCATTGTATGAACATCTTCATGCTTATGTGAGGGCAAAGCTGATGGACACCTACCCTTCCCATATCAGCCCAACTGGATGCCTCCCGGCCCATTTGCTTGGTAAGAAACTCCAGGAACTCTTTGTGTAGTTTGTTCTCTATTATTTTCACCAATAACCTTTTTTTTTTTTTTTAATGAGGCCCAACATAAAACTTTTGGAAAATTTTGTGAATGAAGTTAGTAACATTATCGAAATCACATTTTGCCAGCACTTTCTTTGACATAAAAGCCATTTAAAATTGTTCTCCATTGCATTACTTTATTTTACACATAAAGGGTTATTATGTTGGCCACAGTCCAAAGGATTAAGGGGTTATTTAAGATAACTAGAGAAAGAACTCCAAGTTCAAATGAGAGCGGAAATGGGGAAAATAAGTTTTATAATTTAAATTGATTGGCTAAGCTCTTGAGGTGGAGTTTGGCATTTTAGTATTATATTGTCAGAGGAATGAAGCTTGGTAGGCTGGGGGTGGTCAGGGGTGAGAGAAAGGCTTTCTAGAATTAAGGTATAGCTTGAGAGAAAGTTTCATAAGTTTATTCTAAACTGCACCAATTACTTTCACTGCAGAGTATGTGCTTTGGAATTATATGGGTTTTGAATGAAGTCTTTGCCATGAAGACAAATGCCTAGCTTAAGAGGAGACTCAGTCTTCCAAGAACTTTCTATCCTGCCACAGAGCCTTTATAGACCATGAAAGTCCTGGAGCCCTTTACTGAATTGCCTAATTCCCTTCCAGAGAGTGGCCATCCTTCCTTCCCCTCTACCACTCCCTAGAAGCTGAAGCCAAATAAGATATACGTGTTTGGAAAGTTCCTGTCATGCGTACATAGCATTCCTACCAAGCTAAGTTGCTGGTGGCTAATTCTTCTCAAGAGCCAAAGCTCTCTCTCAGCAGGAGAGAATATGGACAAAGGAACTGTGGAGACTTTTACTCCAAGGCAATATGTAAATACTCTCTACAATGTCTTTGGTAGGCTTTCTTTAGTAATTCAGTTTCTGCTTAAACCTATCTGGTGTGATGTGGCTCTTTCTTCCTTCCAAGGTAGGCTAATCTAGTGCTATGTGGCACCAATTATAAGCAAGTTCTACCTTATGTGGGACTGAATCAACACCCCTCTAATGCCTTGCACTCATTACATCTAATTCCATGATATGAGGTTACCCAGAATATGTCCATTCTTCTTCTATAAGATGGCCTTCTGGATCTTTTAAACAACCATTGTAGAAGGCACAGCATAGTACTTGGCACAATATATTTTAGAGGGTATTCTTGTTACCATCATGTATACACTCTTTGCTTCTTTCCAGTGAAATATCCTACACAGATTTTTAGCCATTCCTTAAAATCTCAATTTTCTAATTGTTCTCCTTTGGACAAGCTAGGCTTTGTTGATGTCTCTCTTCAAATACCATGCTCAGAACTGAACCATTACTCCAGATGAGGTTTGGCCAATATAGAGCAAAAATGGTACCATGCCTTCCTTTGTTCTAGACACTGTAATTCTATTTATTTACCTTAAGATCACATTTGTGTTTTGGAAGCCATGTCACACTGTCTCTTGGGTCCCTTTTGGTCTTTTACATGTAGGCTGTTTCAGCCTGAAGTCACTTATCACATATTTTTATAGTGGATACACCTTTCTTTAAAATTTAAGCAGAGGGGCACTTAGTCAGTTAAGTGTCTGCCTTCGGCTCAGGTCATGATCCCAGGGCTCCCTGCTCAGTGAGGAGTCTGCTTCTCCTTTTCCCTCTGCCCCTCCTCCCTGCTTGTGCTCGTTCTCTCTCAAATAAATAAATAAATAAAATCTTTAAAAATAAATAAATAAAATTTAAGCATAGGCCTCTATTAGGCCTTACCTCTACTGAATTTTATTGTTTAAAACATGAGTTCATTGGAATATTCTTCATGTAGTTATGTTGCCCCCTTCCTTTGGTGTCAACATCCTGGTCTTGCTATTAGATTGACTTTTTCTAGATCCATCTTGCCTTTTACGGTCTCTGGCCTGGGAATCCAATTTAGCATTTGTTTGAGATGTTTGAAAAATTACCCAATTAAGTGTATTACTATAGTATACTGATAAAGGTGGAACTTTGTTACTAGTTAGTAGAGATTCCTGGATGATGATCCTATATGATCTCTCTTGAGTCCAATATTAGGAATTACTAATAGTCTAACTGGCAGTATTTTGTTCCATGGATGGTAGATTATATAAATCTGTTTCTAATCTATAGTAGCTATGATGTTCCATATATTTAATAAATTGTGCCTTTGAATTGTAATTCAAAATGGGAGAAACAGGGATAATCTCCTGCCATTTTAACCTTTCAGAGGAGACAGTAAAAGAAGGGAGTGTTGAAAATTGTAAATAAGAGAACAGAAAAAGAGGTAATGAAAAGAAACTAAATTAAATTTAGAATACTGTGTGGCCTATTTACCGATCCTAACTTATGCACTGTGTAAAATCAGGTCTATGCTTCTGCTGCCTTTGCTATGTATTAACAAAATCTTTTTTTTTTTTTTTAATAGGCGATATGTGGGGTAGATTTTGGACAAACCTGTACCCTCTGACAGTCCCCTTCGGACAGAAACCAAACATAGATGTTACTGATACAATGGTGAACCAGGTAGGAAGAGGCCTTAAAAACCAAATCTAAATCCTCAACTTCATTTCTTTTTCTGCCACTCTTCCTTCCTTTTCTTTTGCATGTAAAACCATGTAAATAAAAAAATGTTAAGCTAATTTAAATGTATTTCTTGTGGGGGGCCTGGGTGACTCAGTTGGTTAAGCATCTGACTCTTGGTTTCAGCTCAGGTCATGATCTCAGGGTCATGAGATCGAACCCCGGCTCCATGCTCAGCACAGTCTGTTTGAGATTCTTTCCTCCTCCCTCTCCCTTGCCTTCTGGCCCTTTCCACGCTGGTGCATGTGCACACACACACACACTCTCTCTCTCTCTCAAATAAATAAATAAATAAATAAAATCTTAAAAAATAATAAATATATTTCTGATGTAGCTCTCTTTTCATGGAAAAGTAATTTACAGTGTCAGTGACATCAGGTACCTTGAATGATAAGTATGGTATTGATCTTGCTGAGAGATATTAAAAATGGAGATGACCTGAGTTTTCCATCAAGCAGTAAGATGTGGAATTATCGACTGGTTGGCATTACTCTTTCCAGAGTTAGTCACCACTAAGTAATCAGTCTGTAGTCTCTATGAACAGAAAAAATGATATCATTAGAAGATTTTAAAAAAATCATTATTGTTAAAAATACTATAGGAATCTTTAAAATAATTTTTATATTACTTTTTGTTACCATCCTTGCGTAATTGTTTAAATTCACCGTGTTCCCTACCATGGGTGAAGTCATGTTATAATTATATGTTTTTCTTTATTCAGCTGATAGTCTACATTTTTTGGGTACAATGTATGGTCATACTTCTCTTGGCTGTATAAAATGTCTTCAGAGAGTTGCACCATGATTTCCTTTCCTATAAGCAGCCATGCAGTGAACATCTTCCCATATATAACATGCTCCTGGGGAAAGGCCACAGCAAAATAAAAACGTGAAGCTGCAAGGGCCTCCAAACTCCCGAAGCTGTGCTCGGCCTGGTTTCACAGTTGAGGAGCAGCAGAAGTTCATCTGCACATAGCTCCTCAGCCTGCTTCCGGTGTTAGTACACGCACCATCTCTCCTAAGGTCGTCTTGACAACACACTTACGAGACTGTCAGGATAGGGATGGTGATGGATCCGTGTTGTAGGTGAGGAAACTGAGGCCTGGGTAAATGTCTTGCCCGAAGTCACAAAGACAATCAGTGGCAACAAAGGTTTGACCTCAAAACTCCTAATATTTCCAGTCTTATTTTCCATTCGTTCCTTCTGCATTTAACAGACATTAACTGTGCTTACTAGCCTGCGCTGTTTTGGTATACAGATATTCTTTCTGCTTGAGAATGCCATACCTACTAATACCAATATTGCCTTTAAAGGGCAATAATAAAAAACATCCCCAGTGTCACATCCTGTTTCATATCCCTGAGGCGATAGAGGAGAAAAACCAGACTTGACTGGTCTTTGAGATCAGAGGAAGTTTTCTGTGTCACCAGAAGTGATTTATGAATTATCTGTCACCTGCACAAACTTAGCTTTGTGATCCTTTTCCCCAAAGAAGCCCTGATCAGCTCCCAGAAGAGTTTGCTGGATGGCAGACACCTACTGCTGCCCCTTTCTGGTTCCAGAACATTCTGAAACTTTAGATTCCCATACGGACTATGAAGCCAAGGCCCAGCTACTTACTGGCTACTGGGTCACACTCAGGCCTTTTGGGTTCCAAAAGTCCATGACTTTGTCTGCACCTTATTGTTTATGTCTTCCACTGAGCCTAACACCAGGGCCTCCCCCCGCTTGAAGGAGCTTGATCAAGGATTGTTGGCTTGAGTTGAATAGTTTTTTAGGAAAGAGAAGGTCATTGTTGTTTGCTTATACTTGGAATATAAAGCATAAAAACAAAAACATCACACATAATCTCACACAGTCTACTGTTAATTTTTTGTGTATTTCCTCATTAATATCACATTATATAAGTGGTTTATATATTCTACTTTTTCACTTAATATTAAATTACAAAAAACATCAATAAAAAGTCTTTATGAATGGAATTTATTTAGATTTTCCATTCCACGAAGACATCATTATATATTTAACCATTCTGGTGGTGGTTTCCACTTTTTTGTCTATTAAAAATCATTTTACATGTTGTATACCTTAAATTTACACAATGTGATGTGTCAAGTATATTTCAATATTTAAAAATAATAAACAAAAAAACCCATTTTAAATGTAATTCTTTGACCTAACTTCTGAGAATTTCCTAGGTTAGTTCCCTAGAGACAGGATTACTGAGACAAAGAGTGTAAACACTTTGAAAGCTTGACATGTCCGTACATGTCGCCAAATTGCCTTCCGGAAAGGTTATGCCTATGTACATAGCCAACAGAAAGAATGCTGTTATTTTAATGCTGGAATGAAATGCTGTTCTTTTTTTTTTTTTTCTTTCAGAGCTGGGATGCAAGGAGGATATTTGAGGAGGCTGAGAAATTCTTTGTGTCTATTGGCCTTCCCAACATGACTCAAGGATTCTGGGAAAACTCCATGCTAACAGAGCCAGGCGACAGCCGGAAAGTGGTCTGCCACCCCACAGCTTGGGACCTAGGGAAGCATGACTTCAGGTAGTGAGGATGATCCTTACAAAGCTGATACTAAACTGGGAGACAATGGAGGCAGGAATGAGGATGGATTTGGATTTCTTCTCTGCTTCTCTAAGCACAGAAGAGATGTGTGAACTCTCCTTAAATGAGGACTCGGGAGTCCATGAGAGCACATCTGGGCTTTTCCAGGAAAAGGGGATTGTCAGCAGGCCCTAACTTGAACTTTAGCCTGTCTGCCTCATTTGAAATAATATGCACCCATTAGATTTGCCTGGTCATGGGAAGGGTGGTGTCCCCGTGAGAAAGATTTGGTGCTAAGATTTATGGAAGATGGCTGGGTGGATCAGGCATTGTTCTTTCCCTCCATGTTTCTCTCTTATGAGTGAGACAGGACAGGTGAATAAATAAGCTGGGATAAAAGAGAGAAGGTGGTACGTGTTAGAAGAGAACCACAGAGAACACTCTATAAGGAATTGGAAGAGAACTGACTATACCCGGAATAGGATGTAGGCTCAGATAGGGCTTTTCAGGTGACATTTGAATTAGGCTTGAAAGATGAGAAGGGTTTGGACAGACAGGGCTGGGAGGAGGACACTGGGCTGGAAGAAAAGCAGGATCAAATGCAGAGAGGCAGGGCCTGGCATTGTGTACCAGAACCAGCAAGTTAGGCTAGAATAAAGGTCATGTGAAGAAGGGTCTGTGATACAGCAGAATGTGCACAGGCTTTCGAATCCCAGGTGTGTAACTTAATGACTAGGTAGCGTTGGGCAAGGTATTCAACCTTCTTGGGTTTCATTTTCCTTATCTCTAAAAGGGAGTGGTAATCCCCAGGTAGCAGCTTTGTGAGTGTCTTAGGTTGGGTTCCCCAGCTTGAGAAGAAGATTCTGGTACAGATGCTTCACTGAGGGACAGACGTCAGGCAAAAGGAGGTGAGGGAAGGGGGGTAGGCAGGGGAAAGAGTTAAGTAAGGATGTGGCCTCTGTTGGAGACTTGGCCTCAGCCTGATCCCACGGGGCTCTCTGGACCCCGATTTGTACCACAGTTGGTCACACCTTGAGAAAAGAGGACTGGCCTTTTGTACCCCCACATTAGTCAGTCACTGGCTGCGGACTGCCCCAGAGTGTGGGAGGACACATTCTCCTGGTTGAGGCACCTCTCACTTAGCCAAAGGCAGTGCACAAGGAAGCAGCTGTTGGCTTTTAAGGGCTATGACGCAGTCACAATGGGGGATGGGTGGATCTGCCTGGGAGAGCTGGTCTGGGCAGGCCCCCAGCAGCGTCCACTTGAGTAGGGCCTGACAGTCCTGTTCTGTAAAGGGCTGGATAGTAAATAGTCCAGGCTTTGCAGGTCTCTGCTGCAACAATTCAGTTCTGCCCTTGTGGCATCAAAGCAGCCACGTACCGTACGTAAACAAATGGCACCTGTGTTCCAACAAAGCCTAATTTATCAAAGCAATTCACTGACTCCCGTACTAGAGAGAGCCTTAAAAATGAGGGAGTACATGTAAGTTTCCTAGCCCACGCTCTTAGGTACTGTAGACACCAAACACACAGTAGCTCTTCTTGTGATTGTTGCAAAAGAGAATAGAGAAAAACCAGGTTAGAAAGGCAGGTCTTACTGGGCTGTATTAAGGAAGCTGAGTTTCTTCTTGAGCACTGGGGGAGACTTACAGGGTATTTATCAGGGGGATGACATGGTCAGAGGGGTAAGAAAATTAATTTGGGAACCTACTGAAATATGCCCCCTGCATTCACTGGAATGGAACTGCTCTTGCCAAGCTGAACAGGACCACTGTCAATTGCCGAATGCAGTCCTTATTGAATTGGGCCACTGCAGCCTTACACGGTGTTTACAAGTTTTCTTCAAAATGCTATTTTTCATTGGCTTCTGCATTGTCATGCTCTTCTGGACTTCTTTGACTCCTCTCTCTCTCTCCCCCTCCATCTTCTCTGAATCATCTTTCTCCACTCTGTACGTACTGGGACCTCCTAGGGCTCTGTTTTTGGCCCTCTTTCCTTGCCATTCTATGCCTGCTTCATGGGCCATCACATCAACTCCCTGACTTAAAATGCTAATGACTCCCAAATATCAATTTCCAGCCCCTTCTCCTCCTACTTCTCTATCTTGGCTCTACCAAACTGCCTGCTGTGTCCTGAATGCTACACCCTTTTCTCAAGCCTTTTTCAATGAGCACTTCCAGGAATGTCAACGTCTTGTCCCTCCCCGCCATCTACCTGGCAAACTTCTACATGTTGATCAAGGTCCGGGTTGCTCATTGCATCCTCAGTTATGCCCTTCTCGGTGCTTCTAGGAGACTGTGCCTGCATTCACTTATTGTTATGCCCAAGGCCATGTCTATTGATCACTTACAGAGTACTTGCCTGAGAGTTTTTGTAGTAGAAGACTCTGTTTATCTTTCTATTAGTTTGTGAGCAATAGGATTCAGCCCTGCCCATCGCTTTATATTGAGCACCTTGTACTGTTTCTAGGACATAAAAGGTAAGTTCTCAAGATTCATCGGTGAACAAATCTTGGAATGATGAACCATGCTACCAAAATCCTATACTGCTCTTACTGTGATGATCAAATCAAATTCATTGAGATTCATTTTAATCTTGCCCGTTTTTGTGCAGGATCAAGATGTGCACAAAGGTGACGATGGATGACTTCCTGACAGCCCATCATGAGATGGGACACATCCAGTATGACATGGTATATGCTGCACAACCCTTCCTGCTAAGAAATGGAGCTAATGAAGGGTTCCATGAAGCTGTTGGGGAAATCATGTCACTTTCTGCAGCTACACCGAAGCATTTGAAAAACATTGGTCTTTTGCCACCTGGTTTTTCTGAAGACAATGGTATGGACATTTTTCTTCATGGCTTGTTTTGGGGATTCTTTAGTTAGTTGTGGGCAAAGGCTAATATTATCACGTATGGGATATATTTAATTTTTGCCACATAAAGTATATGATATTTATGGGTAACTGGGAATTGCTACTGGTAAAAACATTTTTTAAGGAATATATCATAACAAGGGGCGCCTGGGTGGCTCAGTCGGTTAAGCGTCTGCCTTCGGCTCAGGTCATGATCCCAGGGTCCTGGGATCGAGCGCCATGTCGGACTCCCTCCTCAGCAGGGGGCCTGCTTCTCCCTCTCCCACTCCCCATGCTCGTTCTCTCTGTCAAATAAATAAATAAAAACCCTTTATTTATTTATTTATTTGACAGAGAGATAGAGAGCACAAGTAGGCAGAGCAGGCAGAGGGAGAGGGAGAAGCAGGATCTCCCGTCGAGCAGGGAGCCCGACGCGGGGCTCAATCCCAGGACATGGGGCTCGATCCCAGGACACAGGGCTCGATCCCAGGAGTCTGGGATCATGACCTGAGCCAAAGGCAGCCGCTTGACCGACTGACCCACTCAGGCACCCCAATAAATAAAATCTTTAAAAAAAAAGAAAAAAAGAAAAAGGCATAAGAGAGCTGACTGAATGAATGGTCTTGGAACTTTAAGAAACATCTAACAGGGAATAAAAGATGCTAAAACAGGCCCACAGAACTGAAATGGCTTATCCAAGGTCACCCAGCTAATTAATATTAGAGTTCTGACTAGATCCCCCTGGTTCTAGGTAAAAACTTCCCCAAATGTGAGAGCTGGAACATTCTAAAAACTATTTTACAGAGGCAGCAAACTGAAGACAAGAGAGGAAAAGTAACTAGCCCAAGGTCAAAAAGCAACATAGCAGAACCTGAACCAGAGCCGTAATCTAAAGCTTTTCCCATAATATTATACAAAGCAAAGTGCGACTTGAAATTTGAGAGTTCTTAAAGAAGGGGTGGTGGAATATCAAGATTGGATGGGACTGAAATGTTTTCTTCATCCAGCTGAAGCATGAATTTGCCCCTGTGACATCCCCTCAGATCCATGCTATCCTTCAACATCTTTGCCCAAGGCAGCCTGTTTCTCTTTGGATGGCTGGGACTTGATGGCACATGACGAATGTTCGTGAGATCCAAATTCTTCAGTGAAGATGCCATGACTTTTGATTCTCCCTTGTAAAAGGAGGATACTTAGAGCCAAATATGTTCTCTTCTGTATATTTCTCTACCCTCGTTTTAGTTATGTGGTTCAAAACATCAGCTCCACTGGCTGGAACGTTTGGTCAGTGAGGTCAAGGTCATGAGCTCCATCCTTGTGGGGGCAATTCACTGTGCCTTGTTTCTGGCTCCAGACTTTGGTGATCTCATGAAGGCCTGGGAGGAGGTCAGTGTAGAGTCTTCATCATGTCTGAAAAAGTTACTGTAAGCATAGACCCAGTGGGTAATAGATGAGTAATAGCACCCTCCCATGAAGGGAGCAACAAAGGAAAGGGAGTTCACGGCAACCACATCTGTTGCCTAATTTTAAAATATAATTCTTAAGGTCGATTAGCAGACAATTAGTTGTTTTTATCATTTTTTAAATATTCCTTGACAGCAGGCAAAGATGATTGAATCACTAGGATAGTACTAGACATGGTTAAACGACTGGTTTGAAAAATTCTTGTTTCCTTCCTTGGCTCTGCCCCTGATCTGTGAATGATGGTAAATGAACCCCTTCATTCCTTCTCTCTCTCCCTCCCTCCTTCTCTTTACCTTGCCTCCTTTCTTCTTCCAAAAATATTTACTGAGCCTATACTATGTACAAGGCATTTTTCTCGACACTAGAGGTACAATGCTGTGCCAAGTAGATAGTATCCCCCTGCTTACAGTTCATTGAGCTTCCCTAGTACACTAGGCATGAGCTCTACTGCTTTTTACATCACTAAATAAAGGATAGATGAGATCACATAATGTGTTAAAGCATTTTAAACTGAGGTGAAGAAGATGTCAGTACATTTAAAGTGTACTGTACTTCTGATTATCCAGTGGATAGTTTCTTCTGGGGAGGCTCTTTTTTGTTTGTGTTTCTCCTCCCTGGTTTACTGGCTTTTGGCCACATCTGTTTAAAATTTGTTTTTTAACAAAGACTCAGAGAGGGTATCATGTAGGAGACACCAGGTTAGGTATACAGTCTTGAATGAGACATTTACAGTCACTGCCTTCATGGAGCTTACAAGAATAAATAGTATGACAGTAGATGAAATAGCCCTAATTGGCTCTGGTAAGAGGTATTTAAGGAAGGCAATTGACCCTAATGAAAAAATGAGGATTAGCGGTTGCTTGCAGATTCATTTTACCTGTTCTTTCCAAGTCTTCACCCTCCTCCAAGTCCCTTAGCTGAGAAAATGAGTAGATACATATTATTATGTTCATTGTCAGTATTTCTCACGTAATCATCCTTAATGTAAGTATATCTTGAGGAATAATATCTTGAGATTGGGAAATTAATACAACACATCCACTGTCATCCTCATGTTAATATTTATCCTTTTCCATTTTACTTTCAGAAACAGACATAAACTTCCTATTCAAACAAGCACTTACAATTGTTGGAACTCTACCATTTACTTACATGTTAGAAAAGTGGAGATGGATGGTCTTTAAGGGTGAAATTCCCAAAGAGCAGTGGATAAAAAAATGGTGGGAGATGAAGTAAGTCAATGAATATGGAATCAGCAAAATGTTTTGTCTCATGAGTTTACCACTTACCTAAAGGCATTTTCCTGGCTTGTACACACACACACACACACACACACACACACACACACACGCAAGCCTGCATGCATGCATGCACACACTGCCTCCTTTTTATTTTTCAAGTCTTCATTTGGGTGCTTTCTCCTCAGATAATATGTCCTTGGTTCCGCCTTCCCCCAAGCAGGATCCGATGACACAACTTCTCATGGTCTATCTTCTTAAGTGCTGGGTCACCCATTAAACTGTGATATTTTAGGCACTGGGGATCCAATGCTGATCATTTCAGATGTTTTCCTTGACTTCAAAGAACTTTTAGTCTATGGAGGGATGTGGAAAATGAAACCATGGCAATGTGTTCTGTTATGGGAGTGTATGGGGATCCATGAGCATCCAAGGCAAGATCGAAAGCCCAATCTGGTGGGTCAGATGAGGAGAAGCATCCAAATTAAGCTCTGAGAGAGAGGTGAGAGTTAACCAGGTGTATGTAGAGGGAAACAGAGAATTCCAGGCTAGTGAGAGGCTGGCACTTTTGGGCAACAGATAGTAATGCTTTCAATAGTTTCAGCACTACATTCTTCATGCCTGGGACACACAGGTATGAAATAAATGGGTTTGGGATGGAAGAATTACAAAAGAAGACAGGAAGGAAGGAAGGAAAGAAGGAAAAGGAGGAGTCTTTTCCCCTCCCTCTATTAGTCAGACTCCTGTCAATTATTTTGCTTTGTTTTTCTTATTTTTCCTTTTTGTGATGAAGATCTACCTATATAACATTCAGCCCTGTATCCATGAATTTAAGTCAGTGCCACTGTTCTGCCAAGATTCTCTGTTGACATAAATTCTTCTTGGGAGGAAGGAGACAGCAGCGAAAATAACTGTTTCTAGTATTTGAGTATTACTGAATTTGTCTCTAATGATCCCACAATCAGAAAGGACAAATGTCTTAAGTTTAAATAATGCCAAGTACATGGTTTCCCTGCATTTTTTTTCTGATTGAATTAATTTTTGATCCTCTTTAAAGGTTTATTTTGAAAGGTAAATGGTACCAGACCCTTAAAATCATTCATTATGCATTAATCACTCCATTAGTTCAACAAACATACATGCAGTCTTTCCTTAGCATTTGGCATCATGTTTGACACTGGAACCATAAAGGTAACTGAGACAGCCCCGCCCTCTAGGAGCTCCAATGTCCAGGGCCAAGAAGAAGATGTGTATGAATAATTGTAAAACAGAGAGAGAAATGCCAAAAGAGCACAACTAGGGAAGGCTAAGGGAGCTGGAGGGGTTCACTGTGCTGGCAGGTGGGTGGGATCAGGGGCAGGCCCCACAGAGGAGGGGGCACTCCAGCTAGCTTTGAAGAATAAGATGTCAATGTTACAAAATTCTGTCTGCCAGGAACACATGGAATGTGGTACCAGAGAGGGATTATTAAGATTTTCACTGTACATTTTTGGCCATGGGATGCACTTTATTAAATTAGTGTTTTGAAGATGCAGCTGTTTTCCAGTGGTATATTCTGGATGAATTAAAAAAGGAAGAGATAACCACAGAAGGGCTCTATTCTGTAATTTTTTACACTGTTTCTATTTCACCTGACAACCAGTTCCAGTAAAATGCCATTGGCTGACAAAACCGTGTTAACTGCCTCTAACGTATCTGCTTTTTTCCCCAAAGGCGAGACTTAGTCGGGGTGGTGGAACCCTTGCCCCATGATGAAACATACTGTGACCCTGCATCTCTGTTCCATGTTGCTAATGATTACTCATTCATCAGGTAAATGACAGTTGTCTTCTCACTGTTTAACCCCCAGGGTTTGTGGACAGCTGTGCTAATGGCAAAGAAATAGGGATCTATGAAGTAATGACTATAATTTCTCTTTCTCTTTCTACCCTCCTTCCCCCTACAACCTCAAAACAGATCATCAATTTTAATTCAGTTTAACTCAACATGATTTATTGGGTCCAATAAAACTTATGTGAGATCTTTTCTCTACCATGAAGGAATTTATAGAATCCTTGGGGGAAATAAAATTATCTTTGTCTTCTTGTTACTGGCAGTGCTCAGAGTGATGGTAATAGAGTATTTTTAATCTGAAGTCCAAAAACCTATGTTCTTCACCTATTAGCCCCAGATCTTGAGTTTGCTGAACCTCAGTTTCTTTATTTGGAAGGTGGAAATAATATTGTTGGCCTGCCATAGGGATCAATTGGCATTATTTATATGAAAGGGCCATAAATATGGAAAGCACAATACAAATGTGAACTAACATTTAACAAAGTAATACTGCCTTTTTAATCAGCTGATACATAAATACAAGTAGGTTATGATGAGTCTGCAGGATTCATATTTGGGTCTTTCTGGAGAAAGAGGTTGGACTAGTATCTCTTTGGTTACTAGAGCCTCAGAATTTAAACATATGCCCCAATCTGTGAGTCTAGCACAGTAACTAAACACGGGACTGCTCTCTTGTTTGTCTATTTTACAGATACTATACAAGGACCATTTATCAATTCCAGTTTCAAGAAGCCCTTTGTCAAATAGCTAAACATGAAGGTCCCCTACACAAATGTGATATCTCCAATTCCAGTGAAGCCGGGCAGAAGCTGCTGTAAGAAATACTTCAAGGGGCCCCTGGGTGGCTCAGTCGGTTGAGCGTCCCATTCTTGGTTTTGGCTCGGGTTGTGATCTCAGGGTAGTGGGGTTGAGCCCCGCTTCTAGCTCCAAGTTCAACAGGGAGTCTGCTTAAAGATTCTCTCCCTCTGCCCCTCCTCCCACTCTCTCTCTCTCTCTCAGATAAATAGGTGAAGCTCAAAAAAAATTTTTTTTTTTCAAAAAAAATATTTCAAAGATGTTGAATATTTCAAAATGTTGAACCTCTCCTGCTATCCAATATTACTCATTTCCATGCCTAGGTTTCCTTGTTCTAAAAAGAAATTTCTAGGGGCACCTGGCTGGCTCAGTCGTTAAGCGTCTGCCTTCGGCTCAGGTCATGATCCCAGGGTCCTGGGATCGAGCCCCGCATCG